ATTAAAAATGGACAAAATAAACAAAAATAAACAAAAAATAAAATAAACAAAAATAAGCAAAATGAATTAATACAGACCAATAAGTAAATAAATTAAATAAATAATAAACAAATTAACAAACAATGGACGCACACATAAACACAAACGTAATAACAACAGCTAACAATAAAATAATAATTAAAAAAAAGTTAAACCACCATTATAAATAGCTCCCAAAAACTGCATCCAGACCCACAATTATTTGAAACAGACTGTTTCTGATTGGGGTGGGGAATTCAATGTCCACTTATATATATTGTATGTATATATATATATATATATACATACACACACACACACACACAGAGTGTGCAATAGGTAAATTGTCACCATCTCATATTTTCATTTTGCACGTTGTTTTTGATTTTGTCGACTGCACAGCATAGTAGGGTCAGCTGGGCACTGTCTATGAGAAAAAGAGCATCAGGACACAATTCACTCCACCAGAAATTTGGAAATGGCATGCCGTACTGCTTGGCATTCGTATTGGAAATTCCATATGAACATTTCTGAGTGTTTGGGTTGGATGAGTCTAATGGTGATTACAAAGGTGTTTGGAGTGATCATGATGTTATGCCTCCATCTTCCCACAGGGCCTTCATCAACTGCCTTTAGGATGTTGCCCTGGGTCAAGAGGGTGGTTGTTGGAAGACAACAGGATTCTACACCACACCACACCACACAAGCAGTCATGGCTGTCAGACAATTTATGCAACCGTATCACTTCTTATATCTGGCCATCTAACTGCCCAGACTGCAACCCCCTTGATTATTACGTGTAGGGTGCAGAATAGTGATAGACCAACAAAATTCCTTGTAACATCAAAGATGAACTGAAGGCAAGAATTATGGCAGCATTGACCAGGTTAAACAAGGACACAGCCCAGAAGAGATGCAGGAGATTCCAAAGTCATCTGGAAGCGATGGTTGAAGCCAATGGCGATTTTTATTGAATGAATTTACTCTTTAGTATTTGAAGATATTTTTGTGTAATTTTGGTAAATATATCTGTTAAAATGAGATGTCAGTGTTATTTTCATTTTAGCATAATTTAGATGACAATCTATCCATTGCACCCTGTGTGTTTGTGTTTGTGTGTGTGTACACACACACACACATATATACATACATACATACTGTTGTAACCTAGGGAAGGTTACTGAATAGAATAATCACACAAAAGTTGGTAATGAACAATAATACTTAGGACACGAACAACACATATAAGATTTGCCAGCAATATGTAGAAGTAGTCAACTGCTAGAAGTGAGTCAAATGAATTCTATATTGAATCTCCAACTGCAGATCAACATACAGTGTGAATGGGGGCAAATCCATTATCATCTGTAGGTTTGCTACAACACATACATCATGGACATATAAATCAACACTGTATGATGACTGTCACTTTTGGGTTTTAGTGTGATCTTCATTTTCAAGAATTTCAATGTCATCTGAGGCAGGAAGAAATTAAAAATCACTGAAGTGATGACTGTTTCAAAAATGGCTGCTGAAATTGACTTTGAAATGACACATAAACAAATAATTTTGCTACCTTGTATTGAGTTACTAGGATAAAAAGAAAAATTATATTTCTCTCAAGAATAATATTCTTTCAAATTGTTAAATAGTAATTGTGATTTACTTCTTTGAATACATTTACAATGTTTCAACTGCAAAAGACAATATTTTGTTGTTTCAAATTAAACGATGATATTATTTAAAGTTGTGATTTAATAATTTAATACACTTTTATTAAGTATCAGATTTTCAGTACTCAAGTCTATGTTTTTACAGTAAAATTAGTATTAACCTATTGATTATTTACACTATTTACATTGTTTCCATTGTTGTCCCTATTTTTATTGTCATATTCATAATATTTCAGTCATTATATGCTCTGGCCTTTTTTCAGGTGATTATATGTTGGAATTTTGAACTTCATTTTGTCTACTTGGGTAGGTTCTTGTTCTTTCTGGATATCTCAGTTTCAGTTATTTCCTTTTTTTATTAACTCAACACTCCAAGAACAATCTACCCCAGTGGACTAAATAAAGTGTTTAGTTTGAAATTCCAATGTATATCACCTGAAGAGTCAGAGTGTACAACTGCTGAAACGTTGTGAATATGACAATAATGAGGACAACAGTCCAAACAATGTAAATAGTATAAATACAAGGTGTTCAGTAAAAATGCAGCAAATTTATTCTTTGCAAAAATATACCAGCTGTAATTGCTTCATCTCAGTGGCCCTCTAAAAGCCCAGATCTGAATGTTAATGATTACTGTATCTGGAGCATATTCCTAACTCAGTTGTTAAACCGTTGTCATGATATCATTGATATTGATTCATTGAAGTGGAATTGAACTGAAGCTTGGAATGAAATTCCTCTTGACACTATCCGAAAAGCTATTGCTTCCTGGTTACCACACTTACAACTTTGTGTTGAACATTCAGGAAAAATTTCAAACATCTATGATGTTAGTGCATGAATCACAAAAACTAGATAAATTTCTTTCTGAATTTACCCCCCTCTTTTGCTGGGCACCCTGTAGTTACAATACCTCATCTCAAAAATATAAACTAACCCATTGATATTGGATAAACTTTATAAAGTATTTTATAGGCACAATATATCATGTGAATTTCAGCTGATATATCCAAATTAAAAATATTGATTTTGTAGCTGTTAAGTTTTATTGAAACTGACCAAATACAACATATAATAAAAAGTCACAAAGTTATATATTTGTATCACTCTTTCTGATAACATTCTAATCATGTAACCTTATAAACTATTTTATAGGAGCAATATATCATGTGAATTTCAGCTGATATGTCTGAATTAAAAATATTGATTTTGTAGCTGTCAAGTTTTATTGAAACTGACCAAATGCAACATAAACTTTTATTTATAATAAAAAGTCACAATTTATATTTAATTATCAGGATAAATTATTTTAGATGTTAATATGTCTTTTCTGATATTCTTTATCAGTCTTTCAACCATTGATTTTGTTAATTTTTCTACTGTTTTTACTTTTTTTGAGTTTTTTTAATAAATTAATTTCTGGACAGGTGGTGAGGAATTTCATTAATCTAGGGTCTTTGAGACTGGCATGTATGGCTGGTGTAATGGATAGCTGCAAGGAATAAGAAATTAAAAACAAGTCACACCAAAAATATCATGGAAAATAAGGAAAAGAACATCAGCCTACAACAATCAATCCAAAAACTGTAAACTCTGCTTGGAGCAAAAAATAGCCATAATTACCTTCCCAGACCAAAACAAAACTACTAAATAAATGATTGGAACTTATCTCAAAAAGCAGACACAAAAAATTTGTTGCTTAAAAATCAAAAACTGAAAACAAACAAAAATAAATGAAACTAAATAAAATAAACAAAAACATAAATTAATCCGAACAAATAAATAAGTAAATAAACTAAGTAAATAATAAACAAATTAAAAAACCATGCCCACAAAAATAACCATCAGAATAATGTAATAGACTACCTACAATGCTTCACTGACCTGTATATATAAAAAGTTGAGCAAAAACAATACACATGGCGTGACATTTGCATGAAACAGACTGTTGTCGCTTGGTGTTGACTTCAATGTCCACCTTTATATGTACATGCACTTTAACCCATAAACATAGCATACCTAAAAATTTATATTTTATTTTATATATATATATATATATATATATATATATATATATACACAATTGAATGAAGAAAATTGAAATGCAGGTTAATCAGTTGTGTGCTGAGGTGGGTAGGTGAAGTTAAAAGTTTAAGAATTAATAGCAATGGACAAAAGAAAATAAAGGAAGGAAGGACATGCTTCAAATTTATGTTCAGCTTCTTCCTGGAACCAGAAATATATTCTGAACAGTAGAAAAAATTAAAAAAAAAAAAAAACTTTAAAGAATTTGTTTGTTTTCAACCAAACCTGCATAAAAGAAAGACTGCAGCCTTGGACTTTCTCCTTGATTTTGATGTGCAAGTATCCAACAATTAAATCAGTTCAAGTGTTTATGCCTGACATGTCATTTGAGTCCTGCCAGTGATTTGTCACAAATGGTGTAAGAGGAATGTTTCGAGACAAGGTAGATGGTAATGATGACGCTTTTGTCCCTGCTCTTGATTTTCTCAGCTGATGAAGACAGCTAATTTCAAGCTCATTTGTGCTATTCAAATAATTAACTCTCTACTTCTTATGATTCAGGATCTTCTTTCATATGCTGTGTCCCTCCAAGATGTTGGCAATCATGGCTCTCCATGATTTCCTGTCTTTTGCAGCTCTTAATAGCTTTTGTCTTTCTCCCAAACCTACTCTGCCATTCATTTGCTCAAGCTCACCAGGCAGGTTGTGCATTGCTTTCATCTGGTTCTATTATGTTCAATCTGTCTTGTGAGTATCAAATTTTTCAAACCCTCTTTACTCATTATGTGCCCCATCTTGTATGGGATGTTGACAGTTGCAAGACTGCTATCAAGCTTGTCTCTAAAACCAAGCAATGACCTACCTAAGTTTCATTATCCAGAGTGAAGCAGGCTATACATGAAGACCTTAGCTATCCTGTCATCACTCATTCTGACCCAACCATGCCAACTCAAATGTGATTGCATGAGAATATTCAGTCCCTCCAGTTTTGCTCTTAGTTATTGATTTGCTTCTTTTTTTTTTTTTTTTTATAGATTATCAACCTTTTTCAGATTATTTAAAGCCAGAATATATTTTCAGATTGTAAGAATTTTTTTGAGATAATAATGATTTACTAATACAAGTCCTGCTAATTAACCCATAGCTGGGGGAAGAAAAGGTGGATTCATACTTTTTCCAAGGTTATTTGCATGTAAGTGTATATAATGAACCTAACTGAAATTGGAACTGCACTTTGATTTCAAATTCTGAGTTGTTATTCATTACATCACCTGCCCATCCAAGCTTACAGTACCTGTTATTCCTAAGCAGTCACCCATCTAGGTACTGACTGAACGCAAAATTGCTTAACTTTGGTGATCATATGAGAACTGGTCTTTCAATGTGATATGGCTGTAAGCCCTTGCTCTTAGTGAAAAGGGTCCAGATTTAATATATTATCTTCAAGGGTATATCTATATGTTTAAGCATTTCATTCTATACATGTTTTTTTTAATACTGAAATTATTTCTGAACTAAATTTATTTGACTATCTTTTCTATTCTTTATAGGTGGCAATCCTGGTTATGGATGAGGAGGATATGTGGATGTCCAATCAGAGACAGGAAAAAGAACTCACATCCTCTTACTGCCCCCCCTCCTATATGCTTGTTTTTAAAAAATTTTTTCTGAATGGTTGGACAACGGTTGCTGTGTGTGGTTCATCAAGCCATCAAGACGTGACGTGTTGTTCTGACAGAGGACTCCAATATTGGAGCAACTTACCTGTGATCTGTGGAAAGTTCTGTAAGATTCAACCCTAAGAAAAAAAAGAAGAAGAATGATAAAAATCAACAAACATTTCAGAAAAAATGCATAACAAATTTAAATGTAATTTAACATGCAAAAAAATGTTTCAAGTATTCTATGTGATACTATACTGAAATGTGTTTTTTTGACACACAAGATGCTGAAATGTGTTTTTTTTTTAATGAAATGTAAGATATCAAAATGTGTTTTTTGCAACACATTAAATACCAAGATATGTTTTTTTAATGATGCATTAGATAGGAGGAAATATTGGAGAGTAAATATAGCAAAAAACCTTATGAAATGAATGCTAAGTGAATGATAACAGTAATAATAATTATTATTATTACATGATGATGATATATCAAATAATGAAGATGATGATGATGATGATATATCAAATTATAAAATAGAATAGGAAGAAGGAACAATGCAAAAAATGCAAAAAAAATATATATATATATATATATATATATATATATATATATGTTAACTGCTGAGTTGATAAGAATCAGAATGTTAGCCTGTGTTCCCGGTAGTGGCTGGGAAATTATGATCACTCCCAATTACACTCCCACTACCCAAAACACAGGCTAACAAATTATGAACACTCCTAATTACACTCCATGCAAATATGTGTCTCTAGTTTATTCAGGAGATAGGTGATGGGGGTGTTGGTGTCAACAATTTTTATTCAGGGTTAATTCCCATTTTTAAACTGCTGAATATTTCGATTTGATACATAAAAGAAAAAAAGAAAAGTCAAACAAAAAAATATATAGTAAATAAATAATCTGGTAGTTGGCTATTTTGAAGAAACTGATAAAAAATTTAAAAATTAAAAAAATTAGAAATGCCCCCCCTCCGCAAAAAAAAAACAAAAAAAAAAACAAACAATGAGCAAAAAAAAAAAAAATTATTTCTGAGTTGATTCAATTCTGTCTGTAATTCTCTAAAATCTGTTTAGTCTTGTGAAGATAATGATTTTTGATTATTGAAAATTTTAATCAATGACTAGAAATGAAAGAAAGAAGAATAAGAAAAGAAAGATTAAAATAATTTCTCTTTCTTTCTCTCTTAAAAGCCTTCAAACTTTCATTCAAATAATGAAAAAGAAGTTTTCCTTTTTTTCATTCTGTTTCTTTCAGATATGGTTAAGAATTCCTTATCCTTTTTATGAGAATTTTATTCAGTATTTCCTGTAATGAACTTATCAAAATGTTTCGTTTTGAATAGGCCAATGCTAAAAACGTCACCTTGTGTTTTTTTCCCGTAATGTTGAAATCTGTTAAATCTGTTTTTTTTTTTTTTTAAGTATCTCCTCCAAAATTGAAAATTTAACCCATGAGACAAACACAAAAATCTCACAAAAAATAAAACAAGAAATAATATTTTCTTTTTCACTTATAATTTTTGAAATCCTCAGATGAATTAAAACCGTTTCTGGTACAAATAGCAATAAATCATTTTTTTTCTTCTGAAATGTAAGGAAGTCATTTATTTAGATTGGCACACTTTTATTTGGGGATTTCTATGTTTTGACCAGTCTATTCTCTGACCGTTGTTGTTTTTAGGCAACGCTTCTAAATACAGAAAATATACCTGTCAAGTCAACAGATAGCCGAAAGAAGTAGTATTTTCAAAATTTTACTAATAATTTTCAAATTCTTCATTCACTTTCATCTTTCATGATCCATTTTTGTAGTCTTAATTTTACCAGATTAGAAATTTTAATACTTTCGTTGGGAATAACTTAGACAAATAAAAATGTCTTGTTTTTGTATAGTGTAACATGGCTGATTGCTACGTATGAAAAAAAAAATTTTTGTTTTTTAAAAAAATATTTGTAATAGCTTGTGATTAGCTTAATGTACTTGTCTTCAATGATTTCTGTATATATTTTTTATTTTCAATTTTTAAAACCTATAAGCTTGTTCCAGTCCAGGGGCGGGGACATATTTGGGACATAATATGGAACATCATTACTTGAACTAAGCACTTGTTTTAGTTCAAACTGAAGATCTGTGATCTTTGAATGTAATAAAGAACTATTTGTTATTGAAGATTGACGTCAGTTCAATCCTAAGAGGGGGCATCTAGTGATAATGGGCCAGTTTTTCTCATCTTATGCAGTCATTATATTTATGTACTTGTAAAATCTACAATAATTGAATGATAATATTTTGATTGCTAGGGATGTTTGGCTCGGCTCTCAAATGTAATTTGCGTCTTTTGAGTTGAGATTTTGGGCTTGGGCTTAAGCCTACAAGTAGGCATTTAGCTTTAAACAAGTCTTTCATACCCAATACTCAATGTGATCTGTTTGTATACTTGTAAAATCCACAAAATCCTTCATTGTTCCCCCCTTTTTTTCTTTTGTGAGTGTATTTCCATTCCGCTCCTTGTTTATAAATAGAACTTTTTCATGAAGCATTGGCTGTTTTTTTTTTATAACAAAAGGGGAAAGAATTAAAATGACTGACATGTCCAAGTTAGAAAATAAAAACAAGAATTCAGTAACAAAATACACACACTGTAAAAAGATAGAATCTGCCAGAGAATGAAACTGTCATGAAAAAAAAATCCATAATATATAAATTAAGTATGTGAAGACGATGAGATAAAGGGGAAGATTTTATTAATGACGCATTTCACCCAAAGAAAGTGTATGCTCTCTTTGGCTTCCTCAGGTTAAAATGAAAGAAAGACAAAACTGTGTGTGAGGAAAATGTCTTGGGATCTCGGAGGATAAATGGGAATCTTAAATCAAATTTAAGTACATTAGCTTATCCCCTCCCAATGTCCAGACTTAGATAGTTTTTATCTGCTTCTGCCTTGGTTTGTTTTTATCTATAACTGTATTAGAACTGTTTGGTGTTGTAGGATTTTAAATCAGATTTTTTTTTTGTTTACATATACAGAGTGCAATGGATAAATTGTCATCTTAATGATGCAAAAATGAAATTAACACAGACATCTCATTTTAACAGATATATTTACAAAAATTACATACAAAATATCTTGAAATACTAAAGAGTAAATTTATTCAATAAAATCACCATTGGCTTCAACCATGGCCTCCAGACAACTTTGGAATCTCCTGCGTCTCTTCTGGATGGTCTCCTTGTTTTAGTTGATGAATGCTGCCAAAATCCTTGCCCTCAGTCATCTTTGGTCTTACAAGGAGTTTTTTTGATCTCTCACTCAACTACACCCCACACATAATCAAGTGAGGGTGCAGTCTGGGGAGTTAGGTGGCCAGATATAAGGGGTGATGTGGTCACAAAAATTGTTTGACAACCATGACTGGGTTTTCCTGCTTGAGTGCCATGGTGCAGAGTCCTGTTGCTAGACATGAGGTCTTCCAGCAGCCACCCATTTAGCCCAGGGTAGCACTACCTCTTCAAGTCACTTAATGTAGGCATCAATGTTGAATCTGAGACCCTGTGGGAAGATAAATGGAGGCATAACGTTGACATTAGTAATCACTCAAAACACCTCTGTAATCACGATTAGACTCCTCTAACTCTTTCCAAATTCTCTGCACTGTCCTCAAATTGACATCCAAAACCTTTGAAATGTTCATATTACAGCTTCTGGCATGGATACCAAGCAGTGCAATATACTGTTTCCAAATTTCTGGTGGAGTGAATTGTATCATGGCGATCTTTTTCTCACAGACGGGTGCCCAACTGACCCTACTATACTGTGCAGTTGACAAAGTCAACAACAGACGATGAGCATGTGTGAAATTAAAAACATAAAATGGTGACAATTTACTCATCCTGCATTGCATGCACATACATACATACACACACACACACAAACACACAAAGGGAATATACATATATTTTTTTTTTGCATACTTGTACACACATACATGCCCATTAATATATACCTGTACACACAAGCACATCATAAAGCCTTATTTTTCTTTTGCTTTCATACCAAAATTAAGCAAATTTAAATTTATTTATACTTTAAAATTAATTTTAATTTTTTTTCACTGAATTTAAACTGTTTAAGTTTAAAAAGGAAATCAGAAACTGTTTTGGGAATAAAGCTTTTTAAGAAGAAGATTCTCATTCATTTTATGATCAAAAAAGAAATTTAGAAGATTTTTATAGTAGGAGTCTATTAGCATAATTTTGAAAGAAATAGTTAAACATTTACAATATCTGCTTCTATGTGCTGTGTCCCTTCCAGGTATAGGCGATTATGGCTCTCCACAATTACTCTTTTCTATCCTTTTCTTTTTAACAATTCCAATGTTACACATATTGACATTTTAAGGTCCATCAGATGCTGCTAATATTTCTTTGAAGTTTGTTAGTAGCAAAAAGCAATAAACATCAAACCTATTCTAATTAATATCAGTATCATCATTTTTTTTTAACATTATAGCCTAGCATATAATTAAAAGTTGTATTTTTTTTGTAGGGTTGATTATCCAATCACATTAAAATACTGTAAAAAGTTCTTCCTTTGCAATAAATTTTGTCTCTAAATGGATTCATTCTTAATAGGCTCAAAGGATTTATAATTCAATTGAAATTATTTTTTCTATTTTCCCCCAAAATATTTTTTTGTAAGAATTAAATCTATTTAT